AAGGGCCTATGTATCTGGAAGAATAGGAGGAGAATGGTGAAAGGCTATTGCTCAGTCGTCACCACCATTTTTGACCTCTGAAGTAGATACTGAGCCTAAATGCTTGCTGCAATATTAGTATTCTATAAATATTTGTTAGTTGAATAAAAGAGTAAGATCTCAATACACATCTTCTCAATATTTACCACTAATTAGGATGTTAAATATGTCAGTTGACTGAAACTAGCCTCTACAAAAGAACGAACATATTTAAGAAAAGAGAAAAGCTCTGGTTGTTTAGTGGTAAGAAGCTGTACTGCAACCCCAAAGTCACACAGTTCAAATCCACCAGCCACAGAAGAAGGACAGGCATTCTCCTTCCATATGCTTTACTGTCTCTGAAAACCCACTGGAGGGCCAGCTATGGACCAGTTCTGACTGAGTGGCACAAAGCAACAACAATACCTTGTTTGGACGAAGTTCTGGTGGGAGTCCATAGGGAATCACACTGTTAGCCAAAGGCCACAATTCCCTGGCAGTTCAAATCTACCTCTTACTCTGTTGGATAAAGATGAGCAGTCACCTCTTATTTGATTTACAGCCTTAAAAAACCCCTGGAGGGGTTGTTGCAAGTTGATTCCAACTCAATCACAATACTGTGTGAGACTCCTTGTTCCTGGACTACATCGTTATCTGGCATTTCCCATTATGACAATAGTAGACAATCTACTATCTGACTATTTTGCACATCATTAAGACAAGCATAGGATGGCAATGACCCATGAGTCTCCCCTCTCTTGAGGTGGATCTCTGGGAAGCCTGGGATTCTGGACTTCCCTGCCCAGGAACTTTCACACCTTATTGTCTTTGTAGTGTGATGAACCCCCTCCATGGCCAAGACCTCCAGGCACACACGGAAGCAGAAATGAAAGGGGCCCCTTTTCTGGGCTCATAATTTCTATGTAACTTAATTTTCCACAGTTCAAAACAGCTATAGAATGGAAAAGGAGGGCATGAGGGAGGAAGAATGATTTGAGAGAATTTGGGGAAGAAAAGGGTGAAAGTTTAATGACATTCTAAAGTAAGCTGACCGGAGTTTGAAGTTCACCTGTACCTCTGACAGGGGAGATCACAGGAAGCCCTGAGGCCCTGTCACTTGTCACACTCTGACAGAACAGGCTCTAGGATCCTGAAGTCAGGATTTGCAAGGGTGGGAGAGGAGCTCCAGAGGCAATTCTAAGGACGTCTCTGATCTAGCATCTGAGGAAGGTTAAGTGGCCATTCTTTGTCCAGCTTTGTTTCTTCCAGTCCTCCTTTTTTCATAGAGGAACAACCCATAACTGTGCTTTTCACAGTTGTTGCTATGTGTTGTCGAGTCACCTGCAATTCATAGTGATCCTATATAGAGCAGCCCTGAAGCCTGTCCTGTCCTGTCCTGACTGAGCCAGTCTCACTGATTCCAATCCACCAACCCCCATTGCCCCAGTTACTGTATCAGTCCATCTTATCCAGGATCTTCCTGTCCTATGCTTTTCCCTCCACCCTTCTGAGTATGATGTCCTTCTCTAAGGACTGGTCCTTCCTGATCACGTACCCAAAATATGTGAGATGGAGCTTCAAAATCTTAGCATCCAAGGAGAACTTGGTTTTATCCTCTCCAAGACAGATCTATTTGTTTTTTTTGGCATTCCACGGTATGTTCAAAACTCTCATCCAGCACCATAATTCAAAGGCACTGATTCTTCTGTCATCCTTAGTCATTGTTCAGCTCTTTGAGGCATAGTAAGTAATAGTGAAGATCATGGCCTCGATTCGGTGCACCTTGGTCTCTAGACTGACAGTGCTGTTTCTCAGTATTCTGGAGAGGTCCCTGATAGCTGATTTCCTCCAATGTTCTTCATCTTTTGATTTTCTGATTACTGGTGCCTAAAGTGTTGATTGTGGAGCTGAGTAAGCTATGATTAATTGTTAACAACAATCTCTTCTCCATCTATCATGGTGCTGCCAGTTGGCCCAGTGATGAGAATCTTTGTTTTCTTGGTGTTGAGGTTCAATCCATATTGAAGACTATAGTCCTTGACCTTCTGCAGCCCTCCTCAATTTTGACAAACAAGGCTGTTTCACAGTAATAAACACATTAATAAATCTTAGCTATTAGTATTTGTAGGTTTAAAATTTAAAAAGATCACAATTTCTTAAAAGCAAATTGGAGAAATAGATGGTCTCAAAACAGAAAATCTTGCAGTTTTACATAATAGCCAGGTCTTTAGAACTGGACCATGTCTATAAGTGAAGGAGATATTGTTCCTTGGAAAGGGATGTCATTCTCAGAAAGGTGGAGAGCCAGTGAAAGAGAGGAAGACCCTTAACCACATAGATTATCAGAGTAACCGCAGCGATGAACTTTAGTGTGTCAGAGATTGTGAGGATGGCACAGGGTAGGTAGGATAAGGTTCATATCTATTGTTCTTTGGGTCACTAGGAGTCATACTCAACTCGATGGGACCTAACAACAACAAAAACATATTTGAAGCACGGTGTCTTTGAGGAATAGGAAATTATCTGAAGCACCGTGAACTTCAAAAATTCTAAGAGACTAATTTACAAAATAACAGATTATCTGGGAGGCTGGGCTCTGTGAGGAGGACTGTGGGGTCAAGATTGGTGGAAGATCTATTAACAATCTGCGTTATGCAGATGACACAATGCTGCTTGCTGAAACTGAGGAGGACCTGAAGCGCTTGCTGCAGAGGGTCAAGGACTGCAGCCTCCAATATGGACTGAGGTTCAATGTCAAGAAGACAAAGATTCTCACCACTGGACCAGTTGGCAGCATCAGGATGGATGGTGAAGAGATTGAGATTGTACACAGCTTTAATTTGCTTGGCTCCATGGTCAACACTCTTGGCACCAGTAGCCAGGAAATTAAAAGATGTATTGCCATGGGAAAGTCTGCTGTTAGGGACCTCTCCAAAGTACTGAAGAACAATGGTGTCTCTCTGGAGACTAAGGTGCGTCTGATACAGGCCATAGTCTTTGCTATCACTTGTTATACATCAGAGAGTTGGACAGTGACTAAGGAGGATAGAAGGAGAATTGATGCCTTTGAGCTGTGGTGCTGGAGAAGAGTATTGAGGGTACCATGGACTGCTAGGAAAACAAACAAATTCATCCTAGAAAGGGTTAAACCTCCTTGGAGGCAAGGATTCTGAGGCTCTGTCTAACATACTTTGGACATGTTGTAAGGAGGGACTGGTCCTTGCAGAGGACCTACCATGCTTGGTAGGGTAGAGGGACAGAACAGGAGAGGAAGACCCTCTATGAGGTGGATTGATTCAGTGACTGGGGTAATCAGAGTGGGTGGGTCAGAGACAGTGTGATTGGCACAGGACAGAGCAGAGTTTAGGACTGTTGTACCTCAAGGGCACACAACAACAACAACAACAACAACAACAACATCCAAGTCATCTAGAGCCTTAGGGTCCAAGGTGAGAATATTAAACTTTATCGAATGTGTGATGTGTATCCACTATTGAGGTTTTGAGCAGGGAGGTAACATTATTCTAATAAGATTACAAAGAACCACCAGCTGGTTCAGGTGAACAGATTACTGGAGGCCAGAAAGAAAGAAGACCTGACTTGAGGCTATTGTAATAGGACAATGGAGTAATGGGAAGAGTGAGAGTAGTCATGTTTATGATATATTTTGAAGGTAGAATCAGTAAGATCCAGTAAGGCAATGATAAGTCATGTGAGAATAATAAAGGAGGGAAGGCTATTGAGAGCTTTGGTCTGAAGAATAACATGAATGTGATGCCTTCTACAGAGATGGACCACACAGAAGGAACAGATTCAGTGTGAAGTATTAAGACATATATTTAGAAATTAAAAAGTTTATAGCAGTTTGAAGATACCCATTCAGTAATTGAAATGCAGTTTTGAAAATTAGGGGAGAAATAAGAGCCGAAGACCCGAATTGGGGTGTTTCTACATTCACATGTGTGAAAAGGCAATCCAAGCAATCATATTAAAGAAGAGGTTCTAAGAACTTGAAATGTAGAACAAAGACATCTATTTTGACTAAATTACTTTCAATGGTAGTCACAGTGTTCTAATTTTGATATAGACATGATACAAATTTCTGATTCTATTTTGATTTGGATGTTCTTATGCAGTATGACTGACACAGTGACAGAGGCAATGGGGTCAGGATAGGGCAGGATTCAGAGCCTTTGTTCATACAGTTCATACCTCAGTATGAGTCATAGTCGACTCAATGGCACATAACAACAACAACACAATAGTATCATGTGGATTTAATGATAAAAGCACCAAGTATCATGTGAATTTAATGATAATGCTTACTACATCAGTCTAGAATATCTGACCTCACTGTTAATGTATTACAATAGTGAGGAGGGGGACCATGTATTACTTACAGGGCATCTAAATATCTGTTACCAGGAGCTTTGGTGGCTTTGTGGTAAGGTGTAGGACAGCCACCCCAAAGATATGCAATATGAATCTATCAGCTGCTCTATGTAGAAAGATGGGTAATCTTCTCTCCTCTCGTGTGATTTACTGTCTCTGAAAGCCCCTTGGAAAGTCAGCTGTGAGTTGGTTTTGGCTCAATGGTGCACAAAAACAACAAGTATCTGTTATAGGTTTTCCATAAATAGATGCTCCTAATGCATTTTTTCCTTCATTTTTAAAAAAAGTAATTTTAATGAAAGTTTACAGAGACTTAGGGTTTCCGGTAATTCACTGTTGTTCTTTTCTCTCTCTGCCCCCCATTCAATCTTCTTCTTGAAAAGAAAAACTTTTTCATTGTTCTGCAATCCCTGCCCCCAAGTCCACTCCACTGTGCAGCATTCACTTTGGATGCCTGTTATGACAATAACACCCAATCATACATTTTTAAAATTCAATGTTTAAGAATAAAAATACACATTTAAAACGTCCTAATTGTTTTGTAGGCAAACTGATTCTAAGATCTGAAACCAGTATCTACAAAAGAACAGATGGAACCAAGGAACAACGTGACTTACTTTGTCCTCCTGGGACTCACCCAGAACCCAAAGGAACAGAAGGTCCTTTTCGTCCTTTTCTTGCTCTTCTACCTTTTGACCATGGTGGGAAACTTGCTCATTGTCGTGACTGTGGCTTTCAGTAAGGCCCTGGACACGCCTATGTACTTCTTTCTTGGAAGCCTGTCATTTATGGATGTCATTTATTCTTCATCCATCTCCCCCAAATTGATTTCAGACTTGTTCTTTGGGAAGACAACCATATCCTTCAAATCTTGTATGATTCAGCTCTTCACAGAACACTTCTTTGGTGGGTCAGAGGTCTTCCTTCTATTGGCGATGGCCTACGATCGCTATGTGGCCATCTGTAAGCCTTTGCATTACTTGGTTATTATGCGGCAGTGGGTCTGTGTTGGGCTGCTCATAATGTCCTGGATTGGAGGTCTTATGCACTCACTGATTCAAATGAGCTCTCTTCATGGGCTCCCATTCTGTGGTCCCAATGTCATTGATCACTTCTTCTGTGACATGTACCCCCTTTTGAAGCTTGTCTGTGCTGACACTTATGTCATTGGCTTCTTAGTGGCAGCCAATGGAGGGGTAATCTGCACTGTTGTGTTTCTGCTCTTGCTTGTTTCTTATGGTGTTATCTTGTACTCTCTAAAGAACCTAAGTCAGGAAGGGAGACGAAAAGCCCTCTCCACTTGTGGTTCTCACATCACTGTGGTGGTCTTCTTCTTTGTCCCCTGTATTTTCATGTATGCAAGACCTGCGAAGACTTTCCCCATTGATAAATCATTGAGTGTGTTTTATACAGTCATAACTCCTATGCTGAACCCCTTGATCTATACTCTGAGAAATTCAGAGATGACAAATGCTATGAAGAAGCTCTGGGATAAAATATGACCTCGATTGAGGAATCACCACAACATAAGTTTATTATTTAAATAGTGAAAAAAAGATGACGTCTTTAAGTGTCAGAGTGAACACAGTTTGTCAAAAGCATGTTGATATTATCACGTAGTTCTCTTAATTAAAGGCCTGCGAAGGAGAATATTCATCACTATTTGAATGTCTCACTTACATGTATTGTCTATTTGGTTTTGGGGCTTAAATGAACTGTCTGGATGAAGAGGGTTGTTAGAATGCAGATTCCCAGTAAAAGCCTCCGTTGTGGTGTGCCATCAACTGGAACTAACCCATAGCTAACACTCCAGTAGGTTTTCAGAGACAGTAAATCACACAGGAGGAAGTTGCCCATCCTTCCCCTGCAGGGCAGCTGATGAATTTGAACCATGTGCCTTTGAGAATGTAGCACAAATTCTTACTCCGAGGCCGCCATAGCTCTCTCATAAATTTCTCAAGTTATTCTAATTCAGCAGAAACTTTGTGGTGTTTATATAATAACCACATTTTGTTTTCTTCTCACCCCTTATCCACAATCCTTACCCCTTCAATTTGTAGCCAAACAGTAGAGAGAAAATATTATTTATCAATTTATTTATTATCTAGCTACATCTTTTTTTGTGTTTTGCAAAAGTTTTGTTTAAATTTTTCCTCCTCTTTCCTTTACTTCTCATCTCTGAACATAACCACATTTATACAAATCATCCACGTCTTTTTGAAGCAAGCAATCGAAGCATCCACACGGTGCAGTGTTGTTATATAGTTGTTCTCATATTCTCAGCCATCAGTTGAGTCTTTTAAGGAATTTCCTGCAAAGTATCCCTCATATCAGTTTTTAAAGCTATGACATTTTCATATATCCTTAAATCATTCAGTTCAAGATATTAATGTTTTCAATTGAAAGATAAATATAAAATTTCTTGAGAGGTAGGAATATTCTCATTACATTCTTACTCTCTTTTCCTCCTTTCTAGTCATTTGTCACATTAGTTCTGATTTAACCTTTTTCTTCCTACAAAGGGAAAAAGTATACCATTTTTGATGCATATTTTGGGGACTAAAACTTATTTATCTTAACTATTAATTTACATAAAAAAATCCGTTTTTTTATTTGTGTAAAAGATTCTATATGTCATTTCTCATATTTATAATTTAGGGAAATGTCAAAAAACATAGTGTCTAAGTAAGAAAATGCTGAATTAAAATAAAATTTGGCTTCCTTTAGTGTGCACTTTGGCAAGACACAACCACATTAAGTAAAAAAGTGAAATGATAGAATTAAATGGTGAACAAAAAATTATTCTATGTAAAGATTTTAGTGTGTACTCAGTGCTCACTGACTCACTTATTATATACTGACACAGTGTTGTGCTGTTAACAGAAGGTCAGTCATTTGAATCTACTAGCTACTCTGAATTAAAAGATGTATTGCGATGGGAAAGTCTGTTGTTAGGGGCCTCTCCAACGTACTGAAGAGCAATGGTGTCTCTCTGGAGACTAAAGTGCATCTGATACAGGCCATGGTGTTAGCAATCACTTGTTATGCATCAGACAGCTGGACAATGACTAAGGAGGATAGAAGGAGAAAGGATGCCTTTGAGCTGTCGTGCTGGAGAAGAGTGTTGAGGATACCATGGACTGCTAGGAAAACAAACAGGTTCATCCTAGAGAAGGTCAAACTCAGCTGCTCCTTGGAGGCAATGATTCTGAGGCTTTGTCTAACATACTTTGGACATGTTGTAAGGAGGGTCTGGTCCTTGGAGAGGGACATCATGCTTGGTAGGGTGGAGGGACAGCACAGGAGAAGAAGGCCCTCTATGAGGTGGATTGATTCAGTGACTGGGGTAATCGGGATGGGTATATCGGAGACGGTGCGATTGGCACAGGACAGTGCAGGGTTTCGGGCTGTTGTACATAGGGTTGCCATGAGTCGCAAGCGACTCAATGGCACATAACAACAACAACAACAACAGCTACTCAGAAGGAAAACTATAAGTTAGTTTGTTCCTGTTACGATTTATAGCCATAAAGATGCAATAGGAGGTCACCATGAATTGGAATCAACTCAATAGTGGTCTGTTTTGTTTTGTTGTATGAGGTCAAGTCAGAACCAACTCACAGCAGACTCTAAAGTGGTCTTTCAGAGGCAATAAATTGCATGATAGGAGATTGCCTATCCTTCTCCAACAATCGGGCTTTGAGTTATTATAATTATTGCTTTATGAATGTGGGTGTCTGTAAAATAATAATGGCTACTCAACAGTCCTTGTTTTTTAATTTTTTTTAATTTAAAGGAAATGATTCATAATTTATCTGCTCCTGCTATATCAGCTACTGTGAAACTTGCTAGTCTGGTAGGAGGTCTTCATTGCTATAAATATGTCTAATATCCTCAAATATTTTTAATCCCATTGCTCTCTATAGACCCAGTGTCTCCAAGAGCTTGCAGCTGATAGATATATGTATCTGATTTCTCTCCTGGCAAGTCCTATTTGAACGATCAAAGAGTGATTTTACCTAGAACCTGAGATAACCAGAGCAGGCAACCAGAATATGATTTTTTTTTTCCAAAGGAAGATATTTGTTCACAAGAGAGAGTGGGAAAGTTATTTTACCTTTTTATGATGCAATTCCTTCATTTATAAAATAGTAGTAAATACGTCATGACATTAGTGGATCAATTAAATGAGCAAATACAATGAAAGTGTTTAATGAAATGCATAACTCAGAATGAATATCTAAGAGGGTTTTAAAAAAAGATTAAAAAAAAAATAAGGGCGCTCTGGTGGCCTAGTGGCAAGAAGCTGCACTGTAATCTCAGAGGTGATCGGTTCGAATCCACCAGATGCTCTGCTGGAGAAGGAGGATCAATCTCCATCTGTATCAGTCAGATCCAATTTGACAGTACACACACAAATAATAATAAAAAATTAAAAAGATAAAAAGGCAACTAAATAGCCTAAGGGTAAGAAGCTGTGCTGCAACCCCAAAGGCACGAGGTTTGAATCCACCCTCTGCTTCTGGGAGAAAGATGGGCAACCTCTTCCCTTGTGATTAACTGCCTCTAAAAACCCACTGGAGAGTTGGCTATGGGTCTGTTTCTGAGGTGACAGCACACACCACCACCAACGGCAGTGCTCATCCAGGGGAACTCTAGTGGCCTGGTGGCTAGGGAGCTGTGCTGCCAACCCAAAGACAATCGGTTTGGATCCACCAACTGCTCCACAGGAGAAAAATGGGTGATCTCTTCCCTTGAGATTTAAATACTCTGAAAACCTGCTGGAGAGTCAGCTATGAGTCAGTTCTGATTCAAGGATAATGAGTGGATTTAAATGCTTATGCAGCTCCCAGAGAGGGCAGACTTGAGCTTTTAGCTGTTAGAAGTAGCAGAAGCCCTGTTTTGTCTGGATCAGGACTTCTGTGGGGCTTACTCAGGTCCCTGCCAGCTTAGATGGAAATGGTACCATCTTATGTGATTAATCACATCTAAAGGTTTTTAATTGGAACTTTAAAGAGTTGTTTTAATATTTACTGTCCTCATTTAGTGTGTCTGGCAATCTTTTAAACATTAGAGTCTTGGCTGAGGTAGGATTTGGAACTTTGAAGACATCAGAACAAGGATTGCTTTCTATCTTAGCGCTAAGGAAGGCTCCTGGTGGTATAATGGTTAAGTGTTGAATACTAACACCAAGATCTAAAGTTTCAATCCAACAGTAGTTCTATAAACGACTTGTGATGCATTTCTATAAAGATTGAAATGAAATCCAAATCAATATGAGGAATTAAAATGTAACAAGTACCATGACAGTCTTCAAAGAAGAAAAGTCATATCAGGCAGTAAATAAATGTTTTATCTAAATTATTAGAATTGCTTTGATTTAACACATCTTCTCAGGACCCAGAAGATTCTTAAATTTGATTCGATTCTTCACTTCCCTGGAAAGAAAGTGTTAGATTTGCAAGGAAAGAATTAATCTTATAACTGGTCTATTAGTAACAGTCTATCTTCCAGAGTATACACTGTATAATGTTTTTGTTGTGTTTTGTAGAGTTGGAACAGACACATAGCTGACACTCCAGTGTTTTCGGAGGCAGCTAATCACACAGGAGGAGACTGCCCATCTTTCCCCTGCGGAGCAGCTGGTGGACTTGAACTGCATACAATCAGGATTGCAGTGCAGCTTTTTGTCATTAGGCCATCATTATTTATCTCCTTTTTTCTTAGTTTCCCCGCAACCCCAATGTCAGTCCCACTTTACAACAGTGGCATTATACTGTATTTGTCCTTTTGTGACTAAGATATTTCACTCAGCATAACGTCCTTCAGGGTCATTAATTTTGTATAATATCTCATGAGTTCCTTGTTTTTTAATGCAGCATGGTATTCCATTGTGTGAATATACACATTGGATAAATATTTTACAGGCAAACTTTTTAATCCTATGCTCTCTAATAATGTCACCTGGAATGGTTTGCATCTCCTGCACTCTGATAATGATGTTGTCACTTAGCTTATTACTCCCTTATGAAGACAGAATAAATTTACTGCATTCAGTCTTTTTCAGACTAATTCCAATCTTCTTCTGTTACAAACAGGTCTACCATAAATAAATATCTTTCTCAATATACAAAGGATATGTTTTCATGGTAAAATTACTCAGTCTAGTGGTATGTACATTTAAAATATCAATGGTAATATTTATTAAAAAAAGGCCAGTCATTTTATTGTATCAGCTGCACTCCTATCCACATGTTGTAAGAATAGTTTTTTCATAAGTCTTAACAACAAAGTGTTTGACAAATATGTATGTTGTTTAAGACTCTTAAAAATTGTATTTTATTTGTACACTTTATTACTATTTTTCTT